GACAAAAGCAAAGAGAAAGAACAAAGAAAATGAGCAGCCACTGGGTCCCAGTGCCAGTCCCCATATGCTTGTTCTATATGAGAAAGGCTTTGACACATGCCTGTGGTCCCAGCACTCAGGAGGGGTTGTGGTTCGAGGCCAGCCTGGGATGTATAGCAAGCTCAAGGTCTATATGACTCCTTGTCTCAAAAGAAAACAAAGTACCCCAGAAAATTTAGCTCTGTACATGTAAATTGGTTCTGTCTGGTTCCCTTGCAGCTATAAACAATGATAAAAGCATCACTTATTTTTCTTTTAAAATTCTCTGTGGGATCTGAGATGAACAGAGACATTTTTGGGACAGAGGGAAGTGTCGAAGTAACCTGGGAAGAACCAGAGGAGAAATTCAGAGGAGACTGAGGGCTCTGCGTCAACCCTCTTCCTCTAGCTTCTTCTGCTCTGGAAGACTCCACTTCTGAAGTCTATCATATTTTACCACCCCCGCCTGCTGCCAGACAGAGGCTGAATGTGTGCCTATTCTCTCCACTGCTCGCTAGCCTCGTGAGGACGGAGCACTGCTGGTAGGTTTTCCTCACTCTCGCAAAACAGCGAGTTTCCACCGGGAAAGGCAATTGGACTTCACAGAAGCAAACACTACGGCATGAGACCATGGAGAGAAGTTTTCCTTAATTTAAAAACAAACAAAACAGCATCCCTCCATAAGAAACCAATCCCCATATTTCAGTCATGATGCAAAATGAAGGAGGTATCACATGGAGACTGAACTGGACAGGGGGTCTTGTGAAAACTCCATGGTCCAGTGCCAGCTGGCCCCCACCCTACCCCCACCCCCAGCACACACACACACACACACACACACACACACACACATAACACACACACATACATAATACACACACACAACACACACACACACACACACACACACACACATACTAATCTTTTTTAAAAGACAGATTCCTAGTGGTAAACACTTTTAATCCCATCCTTTGGGAGGCAGAGGGAGTTCACAGCTGGTCTTGTCTAAGAAGAGTTCCGGGAGAGCCAAGCTGACATAGTGAGACCTTGTCTCAAAAACAAAGTGAAGTCAGACTTGATCAGCAGCAGCAGAAGCCAACCCTGGAGTTCACTCGGCTGTAGTCCAGTCCCTTCATGGAACACCAGAAACAGGTGAAGATCCCAGGAGAAAGCCGAGATGTACTGGGGACAACAGGCTTGGCTATGTCCCAGGGCAGGACTCTCTGCTTTCCTTCAACTGTTGGCAGCTCTTTGTGGTTTTACCACCTACCCGTGTGTTCCTGAGGAACTTTTACATGCTCAGCTTTCACAGGACAGGCACATTCGCTCCTTTGTAGCCAGCCCACTCACCACTACAACATGCTGATCAATAGCCACGTAGCTGACGGGTGCTTTTAGTTTTGGGGTCTGATCCAACCCGTCCCTTTTTTTGCTAAGTGAGCTTGGGCAATGTAAATCACCTTTCAGTCACCTGTCCTTCATGTCAGCTATTACATCACTACTTAAGTGTCACTCGTGCCATTACTAGCCATGCTTCTCACTTCTCACTCTCGGTGTCTGCCCTCCCTGGTCCCATGCTGACCTTGTAACAGTGTGCATTCCCCGACGAACTCCTCTGTCAGTTAGCACCATGCCTGTGCACTGTTACCTCTCGCCAGCTTTGTATCTCAGCGTGGACTGTGTTGCACTCAGCAAAACCTGAGCTCCTCAAGAGGAAGTTGGATGCTGTGGGGGATGGGCATAAACACAGGGGAAGCGACTCCTAGTTCCGAGGCAGAGCCTGTGGCTCAGAGGATGAGTGCTGAGTTCAGGGAGCTTCAACTGAACCTCCAGAGATAAAGTATGCTTTGTTTATCAAGGGATTTTGGGAAATCTGTCCACTTTGAAGAGTAAAGGAACCCTCACATACCCTCCAAACAGGCCAAGAAACAGACTCAAAGGCCCAGCCACTATGCCTCACTCTTCTCCTTGGGTACTATTCTTCTCTTTGAGAACTCACCATGACCCCTTACTCTTTTGTTTATTCTATATGTGTTCGTACACTGTAGCTATCCTCAGACACACCAGAAGAGGGCATCGGATCCCATTACAGATAGTTGTGAGCCACTGTGTGTATGCTGGGAATTGAACTCAGGACCTCTGGAAGAGTAGTCACTGCTCTATAAACTGCTGAGCCATCTCTCCAGCCTAACCCCCCTGACTTTTATGAGTCACCTCTGATTATCTTTTGGTCTGATCACTTATGAATATAACCTAGCTTTGTTTCTGATCATGTCTGTACAATCAAAATCCCCAGTTCTACATAAACTTGATATGGATCTGTTATTCGAGCTCTCGGTGGAGGGAAGAGCAGAGATTCAAGGTCACCCCTCGAACTCAGAAATCCACCTGCCTCTGCCTCCCAAGTGCTGCGATTAAAGGCGTGCGCCACCACCGCCCGGCCTATAATTTCACCTTTTAAAAGTTAATTTAAAAAATTTTGGCTCCAGCAGCCTTTGGAGCGCTCCCCAGCCCGATCACAGGACATCTCAGGGGTGGCAGCTGGGCGGGGGCTCAGCTCGTGGATAACGCTACGGGGCGCTCTCTGGCCTCCACAGCACTTCCGGTGGTCAGGCCTCTCTTCCGAAGAGGATGGGTATGAACAGTGCCCAGTGGCTGGCTGGATGGCCCGGAACAACCCTCTTTATACTCCGTGGCTGGCTTCCTTTACCGCTGTATCGTCTATCTTCAATGACTCTGCCCCTAGTATATCTGCACACCGTGGGCCTAGGTCCCTGGCCCTCATAACCCAGGCTGTACTCCCACCCTGATCTAAGTGCTCGAATACACTTAGCACTCTCAGGGTAACACTGAAGGGTTCCTTGATCTCTAACAACACACACAGGCCTCACTTTGATGTTGAGATGTTTTAGAGCACTTTCAGGTTCACAAGTAGAAGAGTTCCCAGATACCCCATCCCCAACCACTTCAACTATCAAAGTTGCCCAGCAGGCCATTTGTCACAATAGATGAGCCTACACTGTCACCCAATGGCACCGGCTGACCCCAATGCACACTGTATGTCTGCACAGCTGTAATGTTAAACAACTCCAGCCGGATTCCTCCTTAACCCTCTCCCATGTGCTGTAACTGTTCTTTTCACTGTCACGGATGAACCACAGTTTGTGCCCCTTTCAGACCGACTTGACATGCATTCAGGTCTCCTCCCTCGTGTCTTTAGCTCATTTCATTTTAATGCTGAGTGAGCTAGATACTTACCTATGTAACTTCATAACTCTGAAGCTTGTGCAGGTTTGGGTGTATTTGGAATTAACTGTGGAACAGAGCTGCTGGAGGGGTGTTTGAAGGAACCAAAATGCCTTCCAAGCGGCCATACCAATTTTTCACTTTTGTCAGCAATGAAGAGTTGGGTTGTTTCACATCCTAGCTGTTTGGTGATGTCAGCCTTGGGGGTTGGGCCATTTTAATAAATGTGTAGTAATGCTCTCTCATTTTAATCTAGTGCTATACATTTTATTTATTTTGGGGACAGGGTCTCATTGTGTAGCCTTGCCTGGCCAGGAGCTCAATCTGTAGAGCAGGCTGGTCTCACTGAGAGCCAGCCTCCTTTGCTTCCCGAGTCTTGTTAGTAAAGGCACACGCCACCACGGGGACCCGCTTTTTAAGCAATCACTTTTCACTCTAAGTCTGTGAGCCAAAGCAGGTAATCCTGCTCCATTATTTTAAAAATAGTCCTATTTAAAAGCAAGTCAGAAGGTTAATAACTCTCCTTTCCTTTCAAGTACAGGTAAACGCAGAGGGAACACCAGATCAAGTTTTTCTTCAGCTCTGCACAGCCATTGACTCTGTTTTCTGAAGGAGAAAATGCATGTGTTAAGTGGCAACAGAAACACATGAAATTCACCCTTAACACGTTTTGCTTTGTCCCCATCCCCAACCATCCTAGCTGGCCATTTCCTTCCCGGCTCATCTCCTGTGAGAGGTTCTGGAAACCATGCATGGTATACGTCGGACTGTCCACCTTTCTCTCATGCTGACAACTGTCCCCACTCTGGCACTTGTTTTTGGACGGAAGAGCAGTGTGGGATCGGCCTGTTCCAGCTGTGCCCAGGGCAGGCTGGAGTCTCACCACAGGGACATTATAGCCCTGTCTCCACCACAGCTTCCTCCTTCTCATGGGTTCCTTTGTTCCTCCATTATGTGGGTTGTTAGCATGGACAAGCTTGGACACCTCATCTGGTACTGGCTGCTTCTCCAGTTCCCATCCATGTGAGGGCCCTGAGCCCTAGTGGCACTTTTAAATACCCTATGGGACACAAGGTATCAAGGTACCTGACAGGAATATTTCAAAATTGGACATTGTTGAGCTTCTCTTAAGAGAGTAAAACTGGACAATCAGTCCCACCCACTTTTGGGACACTAACTATGTGGAACAGTGTCATGAAAGCTAACAACTCTGGCCACCCACACAAGCCGCTCTCCTCTCCACAGGGCAGTGTGTCTCAGCAATTATGTAAATTAGTACCAGAGACCAGAAATAATTGAAAAGTATGAGATGATTTGTTTCTTCACTCACTGGACAAAACCAACTTGTTTTGATCTGAGACAATTACTCCCTGGCATACTGCCAAGTAAAAAAGACAGGAAGAATATATCCACCGATGCTGGGGAGGGCATGCTAGTACACGGTGTCCGGCAGCTCCTGTGTTGTACTCGTGTCAGGGGCCTGCTCCACGGGTAAATGCATCACACCAGTGGATCGTGGGTGTTCTGTGCCGAGTTGTGGAACAACAAGACAGCTGCCTGTGTATTCTCAAATACCTGCACCTTGCACTCAATCACTACAACATTCAGTTTGGTTTGCATGACTCTTTTCCTTGATGGGTGATCAAATACTGGTGTTTCCAGGACACAACTGTATTTTTAAAATCATTTTTTTCCTCAAAACATTTATGTACAAATGAAATAAACGGAAGCCGGGATGATTCTTTCTCTATTTATTTGTAACTCACATCATTTTGGAAAGCATTTGAGAGCTTTCATTCCAAACAGAAGCAAACATAGTAAATAGGTTAAAATTAGGATCCACTTATATGACTGAAACTTTGGCCATAGACCAGATTTGAGCTATTACAGAGAAATTGTTAATGTATTCATGATATATGGTCATTTTCATATTTCTTTTCCCCTAGCACTGGTTCCTAAACAGAAATGTTAGTGTGTGCTAGACAAGAAATTAAGTTCTTTGGTTACAATTAGGCCTCTATTACCAGAAAGGGCGCACCATGCTCCCAAGCTCAGCGGCTGTGCAATGCCAACCCCAAGTGTCACCCACGACAGGGAGCATGGATATTAGAGCAAGAATGGAAAGCGGTGCTGGAGAATGACGGCCTAGCACATAGCACACACTGGCAAACCCTGAACCCACAGCTCTGGACGGGACAATGAGGCAGCAGACAGCGGCGGGCAAGCAGCCTGGAAAACTTCAACAGAAGTCAGTACCTGGGACCAAATCAGTTTTCCACAGAACAGCTAAGACACACACTGCCCGTGTGAATGGCTCCAAGTGACATAAAGTCACAGGATTTTAAAAGATGAATGGACTGTAGCAGTTTCTGTCTAGCAAAAGGTTGTGTGTGTAGACAACCTCAGAACTCAGAACACAAGTGTAAACTTCCCGGCTATGACCCATGTTCAAGGCTGTACCTAAACTGGTGCTGTGCCCTCCCTGACATCATCAACAGGACACCCCCCCAACACACACCCCACTCATTTGCATAAAGCCATACTGCCTGTCTTCAAAGCTGCCCAGGGAAACCCAGCTCTTTCCTGGCTCCAGGTCCTTACTGACGGCATCAGAGCTCTTGCCCCCTCCTGAAAGCTGGTCCCCACCCTACTTCCCAGAACAGAGGGTTGCTCAGCCATTCTAACTAAAGCCACAGAGCTCCTTATACCCCAGGACTACTTCTCTTCAAATATCATTTTCTTAAGTTTGTCTACAAACTCCACAAAGCCTGGCTTTTGTCTTGCAGGAGCCCTCACATGGCTGTCACTTCTGTTTTAATTCTCAGTGCCTTCACATTTCCTAAAGAGACAATTAGAAAGGCTGCAAGTCAGTAACCAGTTCCTAGAACTCAACCGAGGGTACTTAACTTCCCCAACTGGGAATAAGACCCATAATGTCACAGTAAACATGACTGAGTCACACCCACAATACATAATCTGATTGGCTAATCACATCCTACATGTAAACCCGGATGCGAAGGCTGTCTGTCCTCCAGGACATTCAAGGGACCACCTGTGACAGGCTTTAAAGACTCACTAGCATTTAGTGTACTGGACCTCAGTACCCTATAAAGAAGAAAGAGTGTAACTTACCAAAACACTGGGTCACATAATCAACAAAGACTTATATAGATAATCTGTTAAAAAGTCAGAGAATAGAGACACAGATATGAACTGTTCTCATGAAGCATGACACAATTCTCAGAAATCAATCCATTTAACAGAGATATAAACCCTAGAAGCGGGCTTTGTTTTTCTCTGAGATCGAATGAATAGCAGTAACCTTTCCCATGAAAACTTAACTCTAGAGGTTTAAAGAGGGTGGGTAACGCACTGGAAACCACTGGTTTCCTCCAGTGCACCCAGACTAGTAGGTTTTAAACCTGGCTATCTAGAGTAAGAAAGCTTATACAGGGTTATCTCACACAGCTGTTTAAAGGGAAATTATTTATTACAGTGGTATGCCATTTTCTGTCAACCTTTAAAATTCATTCCTAACACCTCAGTAACCGTGTTCTGTGATTGACTGTAACTGAAAGGGGGGAAGAGTCAAGGAATACCATGGGATTGGGTGAGAGGCCACGGACAGGCATGTGTGCTCGCTCCCAGGAGTCACGATGGAGAGGTATGCTGGTGCTTTCCCAGCCAACAGGGGCCCCTCTCTCTCACTCTCTCTTGTATTACAAACATGGACATGGGTTCAGGTTTGTACTCTAGCACTTCATGAGAAAAAAGGCATGGAAAGCACAGAGTACCTGAGAATGGAGGTGTTCTTGCTTGGGAAACCAAGCGTGACAAAGGGATCCATCTTGGTTAAAGACAAAGTCTTATCACTTCCCTACCAATCTGACCATGGGCGAGTCATTTAATTTCTTTCTGGACAGATGTCCCATGAAAACAAGGTGATAAATGAATGTGCTCCATTGGGTGGAGAATCCAGTGAGTTGCCACATGCTTGCTTTGTGAACAGTAGGTGCTAAACCAGCATTTGGTATTGGTACATCACATTAAAGGAAACTCCCCTCCCTAACCTCAGAGCAATCACTTCCGGTGTTATCCAATGTTCCTCCAATTATAGCCAACAACTTGAGCATCATATACCATGAGATAAATCTGACCCACTAAGAGACTTGAAGACACCGCTTCTCAAGTCCAGTTGCCAGCAACCAGTATTCCTTAGAAGACAGATGGAGGGTCTACTTGCAAAGAACAACCTGTCTATTTCTGCAACCCTCAAACAAAACACAAGGAATTACTCAGCAAGCCATGGGGACGATGTGCTTAGAGCTGAAATATCTAAAATATATTTTCTGTTAACAGGAAAAACCCACATTACTACCCCAGTCTTAAAATATATTCCAATAGGTTTGCCTGCTCATGCTGATGTTACAACCGTCCCGCTCATACCCCTTTCACACTGTGTGTCAACATCTATGGGATTTCTGGATGGATCTGAACAACTATCTGGTACTATTTCTATACAGACAGGTGCAACTGTCCTGTATTGCAGACGGAAGGAAGCCCTTCAGCATGTGCACTGAACATTTAGCATAGAGACATATCATTCAACTGCCTCTCCTTCACTAATAGCCCAGAGATAAAAGCCTGTCAACTTTTCTGAGTACAATGGACTACATCAATATGACCAGCGATACATAATCAATATATTATTTAAATTTCTCTTTTCTGTATTTAAAATTCTGTGTTTTTCTTAATTAAAAAAATCAGGGTAGATTTTAATACCTTGCTGAGTACTGAAAAGGGTTAGTAAATAACATTCCCTGAACTTAAAAACAGGAAAAAACAATGTTAAAAACTAGAGTAGTACTAATACTCCACCTATAGTCTATATAGAATATATACTATCTTTTCTTTTTTGAATAATTTTTGGAAACCACCTGTTTCAACACATGGGGACTTAATTTTATTAAGAAAAAACTACTAGAATTAAGCTTCTGATTTATATTTATGTTCCACATCTGGACATTAGTCAGCACCCCTACTGTGCAGTGTTTCAGCACGCTACATGAGAACACTAACACAATACATCTTCACCCTTTATAAAGAACAGGAAGCAAATACAGATGAAAAACAGACTTTTAAATAATAAATTCTACCTTTATCACTTGTTGAAAAAAAAATCAAAATTTGACCCAAAGGAATCCACAACAAGCTTTCTATAATATAAACAAACATATCCACATAGTTTATTTCTCACAGCTCTCCTGACAAATGAACATTATTCAAGAACATACTGTATACACAGATAAGAAACATACAAAATGTTTGAAATGATGCACAACAGAATCCAGCAGTATAAAAGAATTGTGAACTCTTGCTCACAGTGCAGACTACATTTAATCACTCGTTAAATAGTAATAAAAATACAATCTTTTATGGATCTTGTGCAGACTACAAAAGGGGGAAAATTATCACCATATATATGATTTTTATATTAGGCAGTTTTCTTTGACGAGCTGTACTGACAACTCCACACAGAGGCAGAAGGCTGTGTACTTTCAAGGGATTAATGGTGTGAGTCAGACTTTACAGTTACTACCACTCGCACTTTTCAACGTAGTCTGTACACATCACATGATCATCTCATATAACATGACATTAAAAATATATCTGCGTGACAAGCTCATGACATTCACACCCCATGAGCTGGTCACAGAAGCAAAGCCACAGCTCTCTCTCGCTTTGCTCTTGGTAAGGACATTTCATCGTGATTAAAAGTTAGGTATCAAATCGTTAAGCAGCTCCAGTCTACTACGGGCTGTCAGTGACCACAGACAGTGCGTTCTGTGATGTAGAGGACACATCCTAGAAGCAAACACCATCACTGGTTACAACTTCGTCTATAAGTCTGTTTCTGCGCTGAAAACTATCTTCACAAAACTGAAAGCTACTGAACTGATTTAATATAAATACTTTGTCTTTCATTATCATATTTATGACCGAGGTCTCTAAAACCTTTGGAATTGACTCTGGCATTAATCCGTGCTCTCACTTCCACCTCACCCCTTTCACATCCCCACCTCCAAGGCTTTCAGTTGGTGGTGAGAGTCTCACCAGGGCACCTCTCGGCTCCCCAGGAATGTTCAGCTGCTGACCCACAGCCACAGTGCAGAGCTGGACTTGATGAGAACACTCGGGAGCTCTCATGCTGTGAGTGTCCAGACCGTGCACACCATTGACAGTGATGCCACTGCTGTGTGTTGACGAGGACAAGTGCTGACAGGCTCTTCCATGTCATCTGTTGGCTGGGAAGTAGTTGGGGTCAAGATAACTATAACCGGTGCCCTGGGACACACAGTAGTCTCTGTCTAAGAACGTCTCTGACTTATACACAGGTTCTAACTGGTGCTCCTCCTTGTGAATAGCTGTTTCATGTGGGCTGCAAGTAAAAATCACACAGACAGACTCGTGATCACACGGCTCCAGATGCATTTTGACTTACATACTATGAAATCTTCCCACTTAATCTCTCAGAAAGCTTTAATAGAAAGTTGCTTGAAATCTGACGGATTTAAGGAATATTTTAATTGCTTAGGATAAAATCTAATACATAAATACATAATTACACTCTAAAGAAGTTTGGAAATAAAGTTCACTGTTTGAGGTTATTGTCCCCCCCCCCCCCAAAAAAAAACACTTACCAGTCTGAACAAGAGTCACAGAAATCCAAAGACATTTCTGGAGGACAATCCTGGCAGTGCCAGCGGACACCTTGGATAGGCTCTACACCACAGTTATCACACTGCAACAGACACAGAAACTCAGAAGAATACTTGGGCTCTGCTTCTTTTCTACCAGGAAGCACAGGATATGATGGAACACACTGGCTCAAGTCAGACAGAATTCCCAGTAAAGGAGATAAAGGTCCATTCACTCAAGGTCAGACTATTGGTAGATGAGAAATGCCCTTTGTATTTATTCAAGCAGTTTTTAAGTCAATCACCTCAAAGTTAAGTATTTTGCCACTAGTAAACATTCCCTTGAAACCAGTGAGTAAATGTGACTCACACCAGAGCTGGAGCTGCCCTGGGCATGGACTCACAGACACTCTGTCAGACTCCTCTCTGGACAGTCATCAGACTGATCCACAAAGAACAAAGCTGACAATGACAAGCAGGCAAGCACAGCTTATTCTCCACAGGGCAGTGTAGTGCAAGGCTGTCTCAGTGTAGTTTCAGAAACTGAATAACTGTGATTTGGATGAGAACAGCCCTTATAGGCTCATATATTTGAATTCTTGGTCTCTGATTGGTGGAATTATTTTAGAAGAATTAGGAGGCGTGTCACTAGAGGTGAGCCTGCTGCCTGAGGAGCAGGATGCAGAGCTGGTGCTGCTCTGCACTATGCCGGCTTGTTTCCCACCATGAGGGTCACAGGCCCACACTCTAAAACTCTAAGTAGGCCCCCAATTACATGTTTTTCTAAGAGTTTCCATATGATGTCTCTTCACAGCAACAGAACAATGACTTTATAATCTCATTCCTAGATTCTCTGATAACACACTACCAGTAAGTCATGGCTGAGATCTACATCCCAGTTATGAGAAGACTCAGTTTCCTCTCGAAAAACTCTCCTTAAGGAATTTTCCTAACTGGCTTCTAAAGGAGAAGAAGGTCACTGAAGGGTCGAGAGAGAAGGAAGGGTTACTCCAAATGACCAGCAATCAGGCACAGCACGCATCGCCATTTCCATCACATGCCAACAGCAACACTGCATTCCGGCCTTCCTGTGACTTTCTCCAACCTAATGGAGTCACTTATAAGGGCCACAACGACGCAAACCTGTCAGTCTACATCTGCACGGTCCCACACAGTGCAGGGAGGACATGCTTGGGTGACATGCCACCCGTCTCTTCAATTCTGGATGACTGAGCTGCTGTGAAAACCTTAGTAACAGGGAGCCACTAGGAGCTTCGGAGTCTAGATCTGGCATGCTCCTGAACCTCAGCAAACACGGTCTCTTGAAATGCAAATCTCATGTTATTCTATGTTCTAAAACCTTACAATTATTCCCTAACCTCTGAGGATTACTTAAACTCCTTGACAAAGTCTACAGTTTGATGCAGCCTCTCTTACTTTACAAACACATTTTTTAGGTGTACTCAGCTATTGCTCAGCTACTGTATTTGTTTAAATACAACCTCTAGGATTTTATTTTATTTGAATTTTAAGACAGAGTCTCACTACACATCTCTGGCTGGCCTCAAATTCACATGATCAACAACTAAGCATGTTCTTCTCCTCAAAGAACACTAGACTGCATGACAACCACCTGTGGACACACCTTTGCATGTATGTATAAAAGAATACTTAGAACGCCCTGAGTGCCTAGAGAGTTCAGAGTTGAATAATCCAGCAGCCACTTAGAAAACCACCTTCTCATCCTTTTAAAAACTAAATGAGTTGTTTACCTTAAAGCCCACATGTTGCACAAATCCACTTTCTGCTTGCAATTGTTGAAGTTTCTGCTTTTTTAACTTTTTAAACTGTAATAGTTCTTTATATTCAGGTAAACTCCTATATATGATAGGAATGCTTTCTTCATCCTGTTAAAAACCAAATATAAAAGTGTTAGTTTGATAACCAAATGGACTAATTGTGAGAAATACAATCCTGATTATTTTCCTACTGACATTAATTACTCTTAATAATAAGACTTGATGCCGGGTGGTGGTGCCGCACGACTTTAATCCCAGCACTTGGGAGGCAGAAGCAGGCGGATTCCTGGTCTACAGACTGAGTTCCAGGACACCCAGGGCTACACAGAAAAACCCTGTCTCGAAAAACCAAAATAAATAAATAAATAAATAAATAAATAAATAAATAAATAAAAGAAGACTTGATTTTTAAATGTTCTGCCACCCTTTTCATGGCTAATTATTTTAATTTAATTTTTTATACTTACTCACTTTACATTCCTCTCCCTGCTCCCCTCCCAGTCACCCTCTCCCTACAGTCCTTCCCCTATCCCCCCTCTTCTCCTCTGAGCAGGTGGGGGCCTCCTCGGGTATCCCCCACCCTGGCCCTTCAAGTCTCTGTGAGGGTAGGCGCTTCCTGTCCCACTGAGGCCAGACAATGCAGTCCAGCTAGAACGTATCCCACAGACAGGCAACAGCTTTTGCAACAGCCTCCATTCCAGCTGTTCAGGACCCCCATGAAGACCAAGCTGCCCATCATCTACCTATGTGCAGGGAGGCCGAGGACAGGAGAGATGGCTAGAGAGCCATGAGAAGGAATGGAGCTCTGCAACTGGCATGGGGGAGGGGGAGGGGGTGGGCATCTCCAGGACAGACAGACACCTGGCATAAGCGAGGTGCTCAGGAATCAATGGAGGTGACCTTAGCTGTGACTCACATGGCTAATTTTTAGTCAGTCTTTAAGTACCATCTTCACTGACACTTTTCTCAGGTCTTCTTGAACTTCCTCTCTAAACTAAGCACCTCTTAAATGACTTTAAAGGCTCTTTTTATTCCTTTGAAAGACTTTAGCACATATTTATCAATGTGATCAATAAACAAGCCCAAGATTTAGAAGAACAAAGACGTATGTATGTGTTTTTACAACTCCTTATCAAGCTCTTAGCACAGCCTGTTACATAACATGTTCAGGGAAGTATTTCTTCAAACGAATCATTCTAACAACCACAAAGTACAAAATCACACACAAAATCTGTATTTTAAAGACTAGGTATAAGCATTTCCAGAGGACAAATTTAAAGGGAAAACAACTTTACAATCACTACATACTTATTTAAGAGAAAGAGGTATCTTTTCTTGCCAACTATCATTAAAATCTCCTGTTCTAATTCTATGCAATCAGTATTAATATATATTCTTCTCACAAGGAACCAACCATTTTACAGAAAATTCAGAGCAGAAGAACAGGTTAAATGACACAAAGGACTCAGTTCATAGAGCACACACTGTGGCAAATTGTAGACAAACCCAATATGGGGGAGGAAAATGAAAAGAAGGTTTAGACACACCCCACCCCAACCCCCATTTATTGCCTTTCTTTGGCTCCAAACAAATAAGTAATAAATAACCAAGTTTGTGAGTATAGCTCAATTGGTAGAGGGCTTACTCGTGTGCACAGGACCCTGAGCAAGTACATGTACACACACCTTACTGCAGGCAAGCAAATATTCCACTACATGAAAAGTTACCTTCTCAGAAACCTCAATTTGGTGTCTGGAACTCCCTCTAAAATAAGCTGAAGTGGAGCTGGGTGGCAAGATGCGTAAACATAACTACTGCTCCGTGACAATTACAGAAGCTAAGTGACGGGATTCGGGTTCACTGGGCTATTCTGACTTCTTATGCCTATGCTGAATTTTCCACAAAAAAATTACTTAAAGCATATTAACTCTGTATTAACTCTAACTTGTTAGTTAAAGGGGAAACGTCAGCATTCTCTGAAGAGTAGGGATAATTAGAAAGTCATTTACTTCATACTGCACAGTCATCTGTATAAAAACAGGCAAGGAACTTACTGAGGCCTCCTCAGCAGCAGTGCTCATGTGGCTACGGAGACAGGACCGGTCATCATCTTCATCCATGTATACTGGTGGCTCATGGGAAGTCATGAAAGTGGAAGGTTTAAAGAGGTGCTTATTAAGGGGGTGCTGTCGCCTGCTTGTTGAGGACTACAGGAAAGAACAAGGGTTTTACTGGGACAGTGGAAAATCATTAACAGAATCAAAAATATAAAACCATACAACAGCCCACCAGTTACAAGCATTCAATGCTGGCTGCACTGACCTCTTATCATCAACTTATACAGAAAATCAAATGTACTAAGCCAGACAAACAACTACCCAGAGAGAAAGAGAGAGAGAGAGAGAGAGAGAGAGAGAGAGAGAGAGAGGG